GGTTCAGTGAACCGGATTATTTTGCTTAATTGCATCGATAGGATCTTTTAACCTACAAAGCTTGTTTGTAAGCGAGTTTGTTGGTTTAACTGCCAACCACTTTAATCCCAGACAGCCTTATTGAGAATTCTTTGTAATACTTCTGAGGTGCCTTCCTTGTATGGTAACACAGTAGAGACTGAATTGTCTCTTAACCCTGTCACCATTCGTAGTGGAATTATTATTAATAACACCTGTATTACTACTACTAATATCTTCCTTTCAGCTTCTTATGAACGTATTTATAAATTATGGTGGGTAATTATTGAGATGTGTTAGGTATTGTTGATGTGTCTAATTTCTTGTTATAGATTTTCTGGTCTACTAGTAAGCTATGTAGATGATACGTTTACAGTACTGAAATTGGAAAGCATCAATAAATTCTTGGCACATATAAATTCAGTAGTGAATGTAATCCAATTTACCTGTGATTTAGAAAGTGTTGGAGGTGAGCTAGCAATGTAGTGGCTTGCAAGATTAAAGGAATACAAGACAGGAGTTTAGAGACAAGTGTCGATAGGGGAACCTACCCATTCGAATCACTACATAGACTTCAAATCCTCCCAATCCCGTTTTAGTTAAAGTCAGTTTAGTCAAATGCTTAAGTGATAAGGTGAAAAAGATTATTAGTAGGCCAGAAAATCTACAACAAGGAATTAGACACATCAACAATACCTAACACATCTCAATAATTACCCACCATAATTTATAAATACGTTCATAAGAAGCTGAAAGGAAATCTTAGTGGTAGTAGTAGTAGTAATACAGGTGTTATTAATAATAAGTCCACTACTAATGGTGACAGGGTTAAGAGAGAATTCCAAGTCTCTACTGTGTTACCATACTAGGAAGGCATCTCAAAAGCATTATGAAATATTCTCAATAAAGCTGTCTGGGATTAAAGTCATCATCATCATTATCAACATAGGACCAGGCATTACTGCGTAACGGTCCGAGTTGCCACACCTCATATCAGCACATCAAGTAAAAAGGTAGTGAGGTGAAGGATGAAGATAAGTGAATGCAGTCAAAAGAAATATAAAGTACGAGAAGAAAGGAAAGAGGAGTGACAAAATGGTGAGATGAGGATAATGTGTGTATACATCTGCGCCACTGACTTCGGTTCTGAGCCATATCACCTAGGGTCTCCAACCACTGGTTCCTCTTGTCCCGTGGACCCCAACCACCTAGTCTGCATCGTCCTACATGGCTTAAACCAACAGTCAGAGACTTCATACATTGGTGCCATGTTTTAGTCTGGCCACCTCGGGCCTTTTTCCAGCCTGAACCCACCTCAGCCAACATTGTGTGACGAGGCAATCGGTGACTAGGCATACGTAGTACGTGTCCCAACCATCTCAGTCGATGAAGGTTCACAACCTCGTCGACTGACTTACCTCTTCTCCCTAAAACTCTACACCTAACTTCTGCATTACTCACATGGTGACACCACGGAATACGTCCTATACTACGAAGGCAACGGTGGTCAAACACCTGAAGCCTTTTTGTATCCTCCACTTTCAATGGCCATGTTTCACAGCCATACAGTAGAACAGAGCGGACTGCTGTGCAGTACACGCGACCCTTAATAGACAAACGAATATCACGGCGGCGCCATAGGTGGCGCAAATTGGCAAAAGCCAATCGAGCCTTTTGTATCCGTGCAGAAATCTCATCGGCAACTAACCCACCGGGTTGATCCTACTTCCCAGGTAAGTGAAGTGGTCAACACACTCAACCACTTCACTCTCTATTGTTAACCGCGGTACCGCTGAAGACCAGTCCTGGAGCAAAAATTTGCATTTGGGTGGTGAAAATCGCATCCCAAACATTCTCAAATTCCCACTCAAAGTGTTCAGAAGACTCTGCATCTTGTCAGCGTCTTCACCTAACAGGACTATGTCATCTGCATATTCTAGATCTAAGGAAAATTCACCTGTGATCGGGTCAACGTCTGTGTAATTAGGTGACGAGAGGGAAACCTCCATAAGAATATCTATGATAAAATTAAATAAGAATGGGGATAGTGGGCATCCTTGACGGACACCACTTGATGAGTATAGCTCCCTGGACAACTCACCATAGGCTCTAACATGCCCACAAGTGTTCGAGTAGAGAGCTTTCAATAAGGTGATGTACTTACTAGGCACGCCTTTCAGTGACAGACATTGCCATAAGACTTCTCGATCAACGGAGTCAAATGCCGCCTTCAGGTCGAGAAATACAGCTATTGTCGGGCGTCTGTAAGCATGCCTATGTTCCAGGACCTGGCGCAGTGTGAATATTTGGTCGATACATCCACGGCCAGGTCTAAAGCCTGCCTGGTTTTCTCGGGCTTGCTGTTCCCGAGCTCCACTCAGGCGTCGGAGAATTATAGAACTTAGGATCTTAGACACTATGTTCGTCAGGCTGATTCCTCTGTGGTTATCACAAGAGGACTTCTCGCCTTTCTTGAAGACTGGGATTAAAGTGGTTGGCAGTTAAGCCAACAAACTCGCTTACAAACAAGCTTTGTAGGTTAAAAGATCCCATCGATGTAGTTAAACAAGTAGTGGATCAGGTTCAGTTAGGCTATGTGAACACAAAAACTCAGCTAAATCAAGAATACTGGATCCTAATAAGATAAGAAATTTAGAAGCAAACCCCCGGCTATAGCTATGCTTTCAATTGGACGCAATCACAGACAGAGTACGGTGGGATAGAGTGACAGCGTTAAAAAGTGGAGAGATTGAAAAGCAAATGTTTGCTTATCCAATCAACACCAAATATATAGAGTAACAGGAATGATTCTGCACCTTTCCCAGATATATGAAAAATTCTGCTACCGTTATCATCACAGAGAAGGAGAGGTAATTAGGACTATATAAACTCTGTCTTAAAGTTGTGGAGTTAATTACCTGATTGACATGAATATGGACAATAAATTGTGTCCGACACGTTGTTATGCAATAAATGATACTGTTCCTATACTTTGTGCGACATTTCTAAGAAACGGCCTAAAATAGATTAGATATTATTCGATTAAACACCTGTAACCTCTTTGTGCCCTTCTCTTCACACCCAAGTCTCACATTTTTTGACTGGGCAATAGTTCACTAACACCTAGAATGGCTTACGCTTATGGGTGGTAAACCGTCTCTATAATACAAACAACTGTATACAGTTATGGAGATTTAGTGGCCAAGTAAATAACGATCTAATGTTTGAAATGGTCTTTGCTGGGTTCGAGCCTTCATGGGGAATAACATCCCAAATAGGCCGAAACGCATATCAAGTTGGATTCCACTATTACATTCTACTCATCATATTAAAACTTTTCATATACTTCATCAAATTCTCCTACTTCTTGGTTCTATTATATTCTCTGAGCTGAGTTTTAAGATGAGGCTGAATATTTATATAGTCTACTGTAGAGCGTCGGAATGTGAGCCAAAGTATAAACTCTTCATGTAGCAGTTGGAATGTTGCTTTCCAGGAAAATTTGAGATTACTGGTGAACGGATGCCTCAGTCAACTGGCCAATTTAAAGTTCAAGTTGTTGGATAGATCACTTTTACATTCAAAGAAAAATGGTGATGAGTATGTGAATAGTCAGAAAATGGAGGTTATTTGTGATGGTGTTTGAAAACTGCTCCCGATTAAACAATTCAGCTCCTCCTCCTCATCATCATCAGTATCAATATAGGACCAGGTACTATTGCGTAACCCTCCGAGTTTCCACAGCTGGTATCAGTACATTAAGTAAAGAGACAGTGCAGCGCAAGATGAAGATAGGAAAATTTAGTCGAAAGAAATATAAAGTACGAAAAGAGAGAAAGGAAGAATGACAAAATAGTGAGATTTGGTATAGCTTCATGAAGATGAGGATAATGTGTGTATACATCTGTGCCACTGACTTCGGTTCTGAGCCTTATCATCTAGACGTGGACCTACTTCGGCCAGCATTGTATGACGAGACAGATGGCGACTAGGCGTATGTAACCCGTGTCCCACCCATCTTAGTCGATGAAGGTTCACAACCGTGTCAACTAACTTACCTTTTCTCCCTAAAACTCTACACCTGATTTGTGCGTTACTCACGTGATGACACGACGGAATACGGTCTACACTACAAAGGCAGTAGTAGTCAAACACCTGAAGCCAGCCTTCTTATGTCTTCCACTTTCAATGACCATGTTTCACAGCCATAGAGTAGAACAGAGTGAACTGCTGTGCAATACCCATGACTCTCATTAGATGATCGGATATCACACCTGCACCATAGGTGACACAAGTTGGCAAATGGTAACTTCAACGTCAGAAACACATAGCAAGTTCCTTACTTTTCTGTCAGGAACTTTTCAGGCAGATATATAGGGACCACACTTATTTATACTGTTTGTAAGGAAATGTTTAATCATCATGATCAATATCAACGTAGGACTAGACATTACTACGTAACCCTCCAAGTTGCCACAGCTGGTATCAGTACATCAAGTAAAAAGGAAGTGAAGTGGAAGATGAAGAATGAGAAAATGGTGAAACTCGGTATAGCGTCGTTAAGATGAGAATAATGTTTGTATGTGTGTGTGGGGATACATCTACGCCACTGCATCACTTCTCAGCCATATCATCGAGAGTCAGTCTCCAACCACTGGCTTCTCTTGTCCCCCGACTTCAACCGGCTAGTCTGCATCCTCCTACACGACTCAAATCAACAGTCAAACACTTCATACATTGATGTCATGTTTTAGTCTAATCGCCTTGAGCCTTTATCCAGTTTAGACCTATTATGGCGGACATTGTGTGACGAGGTAGTCGGTGACTAGACAACTCAACTCCTCAGACAACACAATACAACTAAGATCATCCACTTGAGTTAGAAATATTCTCCACTATTTCAATATTCAACTTTTGTTTGTTATAACATTTTTTTCATTGATTCCTGTTTGTTTGTTTGTTTGTTTCAAATATTTCATTAGGAAGTGGATGGAAAATTCATATTAGTGGATAATAAATTCACTGAATCTTTACCAGATGAAATTCATAACTATTTAAAGGTGAATCATTCTATTCCAGGATTTTTAGCCTCACTTACATTGTACTATCTTCAAGAGAATACACTATTATTATGATATATGTTAATAGAATTTCCATGATCTTATAAAATTATGTTGTAAATAAAATTCTATGTTTACTTTTATATTTAAAGCATAAATCTCTGTGTGTGTGTGGGGGGGGGGACATGTTAGAGCCTATGGTAAGTTGTCCAGGGAGCTACGCTCATCGAATGGTGTCCGTCAAGGATGCCTACTGTCTCCATTCGTATTCGCTTTTATCATAGATATTCATATGGAGGTCTCTCTCTCGTCACCGAGTTACTCAGACGTTGAACTAATCACAAGAGAATTTTCGTAAGACCTAGAATATGCAGATGACATAAACCTGTTAAGACACTGACTGATGAGATGCAGAGTCTTCTGAACACTTTGAGTGGGAATTTGAGAATGTTTGGATGCATTTTTTTACCACCGAAATGCAAATTATTGCTCCAGGATTGGTATTGAACTGTGCCACGGCTAGCAATAGAGAGTGAGTGCAATGATTGAGTGTGTTGACCACTTGACTTACTTGGGAAGTGAAGTATGACTGGCCTTGGTGCATTAGTCAGTGGGTGACGACATTTGTGAACGAATGGAAAGACTCGATTGACTTCTGCCAACTCAAACCATCTGTGGCGCCACCGAGGTATTCGATTGTCTATTGAGGGTTGTGTATACTGCACATGAGTGTGGTGTGTTGTATTGTATGGGTGTGAAACATGACGATTGAAGATGGAAGATATGAGAAGGCTGGCTTCGAGTGTTTGACTTCGTTGCCTTCGTAGTGTGGGCCATATTCCGTCGTGTCACCATGTGAGTAATGTAGAAGTGAGGTGTGGAGTTTTAGGTAGGGAGTGGAGGTAAGTCAGTTGATGAGGTAGTGCACCCTCACACAGAGTGTTGTCCGAAGTAGGTTGAGGCTGGAAAAAGGCTCGAGCTAACCAGACTAAAATATGACATTGGTGTATGAAGTATTTGACTGTTGGTCTGAGTTATATGGGGGCCATGCAGACTGGATGGTTGTGGTCGGCGAGACAAGAGAAGCCAGTGGTTAGAGACTGACTGTGGGTGATATGGCTGAGAAGCGATGTCAGTGGCGCAGATGTATCCCCACATACATTATCCTTATCTTAACGACGCTATATCGGATTTCACCATTTTGTCATTCCTCCTTTCTTTCTTCTCATACTTTAATTTCTTTTGACTGCATTCTCTTATCTTCATACTTCACCTCACTACCTTTTTACTTGATATAGTGATATGAGGTGTGGTAACTCAGACCGTTACGTAGTGATGCGTGGTCGTATGTTGATATTGATGTGTGTTTGGGGATATCCAACCATATCACCAAGACTTCCCAACAGTCAGAGACTACATCAACTGGTATTATATCTTAGTTTAGGCATGCTGTACCCTCTTCCACATCCTACTCCAGCTTCCTCTGAAGTGTGAGCATATCGAGGTAGACGGTGGGTTGGTATTGGCAGTACATCCTGAACCTATCTTAGTTAAATAAGATCCACAATTTCATCAGTCGACTTGGGTGTCTTGCCGAGTACCCTGTAAACAATTCATATGTTCTACTTTCGACAGCTTTATTCCAAAGCCTTCTTATAGGGATTGATTTGTTAATGCTTCCACCATCAATCAATCAATTAATATCTACATAGGACCTGATATAACTACCTAAACCTCGAGGTTGCCGCATTGCACATTAGCACATCAAATCATAAAGCGCTTAGTTAGAAGATGAAATAATCAAGAAGAATCAGTAGAAAGTAGTAGAAAATGCTGAATCCGGAATGGTTATTAGGCTTAGGATAATCTATGCATATATCTGTGTCCTGAGTCGTATTGTGTGAATTCTCCAACCATTAGTTTCTCTTGTCTCGCCGACCACAACCATCCAGTCTGCATGGCCCCCATATAACTCAGACCAACAGTCAAATACTTCATACACCAATGTCATATTTTAGTCTGGTTAGCTCGAGCCTTTTCTCCAGCCTCAACCTACTTCGGCCAACACTCTGTGTGAGGGTGCACTACCTCATCAACTGACTTACCTCCACCCCTACCTAAAACTCCACACCTCACTTCTACATTACTCACATGGTGACACGACGGAATATGGCCCACACTACGAAGGCAACGAAGGTCAAACACTCGAAGCCAGCCTTCTCATGTTTCCCATCCATACAGTAGAACAGAGCGTACTGCTGTGCAGTACACACAACCCTTATAAGACTTTAACAGAAATAACCAATCACCCACAAGGTCATTAGAAAAAGCTGCTAAACCACATATAGGGTTTGTGCTGATGATGTTATTTTGCATAACATTTGTAAAGGTTTCACGATTAAGGCACTCAGCTGTAAGAACGCAACACAGTTTTTGTGGACATTTTATTTTGAGATAAAAACGTATCTCGCATATGGCACAGGGATACTTCATAAACCTCATAGGTATCTATTCTTAAAGCAAACAGTAATTTCTTTATCAACGTAGGAGAAGGAATTAATGCACAACCTTTGAGGTTGCCACATCTCTTATCAACACATCAAGTAACAAGATAAAGAAAGGACGTAACTTTTGCTTTTCGTTGTGGCCTGCTGGAATGAATCTTTTCACATGTGTCATGAAGCAGGAATCTAATGACGTTCTGTTAACAACTTTATATTCTGCCAAGCTTCCTTAGGATAAGCATCGCTGTCATGTTCAGATAAATGTTTAGCTAGCCCATTCCTTTATGTATGCTTGATGTTCTCATCTCTCAATCGAGCAGAGAAAAGCTGTATGGCTGTCTATTTTCTGTGACCAGTTTATTATTATTAGTCCCTTGGGTTCCTAGTGGAACATAGGGCTTCAGTAGCACGCCTCCAGTGACCTCTGTTCTCTGAGATCTTTTGAACCTGGTCCCACGACAGCCCAGAAGCTCTCATTTCCTCCTCGCACGACCTCCTCCATGTCACCCTCGGACGTCCAACTCGTCGCTTCCCATGGGGATTCCACTCGAGCAACTGGCCTGACGCGTGATGTCCTCAGTCGGCCTTCTCAGTACATGGCCAATCCATCTCCACTTCTTCCTGCATATTTGTTGGGTGATAGGTTCTTGGTTGGTTCGTTCCCAGAGTTCCTTGTTGCTTATTCTTTCTGGCCATCTGATCTTCAGTAGCGAGCGGAAGCAGTTGTTGATGAATGTCTGTAGTTTATTGGAAATGCCTTTCGTGACGCGCCAAGTCTCTGAACCATACAAGAGCACTGACTTGACGTTGGTGTTGAAAATCCGTATCTTGTTCCACATGCTGAGTGCAGAAGATCTCCACACTGGTTTCAGGCTAATGAAAGCCTGTCTTGCTTTTCCGATTGTGACTTTGACGTCCTCGTCCGTCCCGCCTGTAGTTGAAACAATGCTTCCTAGATAAGTGAAGGAGGTTACTTCCTTCAAGTTTCTCCCGTTGACGGTGATTGGAGTTTGTTGTTGTTGGTGGTGGTGCGGTATCTTCATCACTTCTGTCTTCTCTATATTCACTTGAAGTCCCGTCTTCGCTGCCCTGCCTCTTCTATCAACTTGTTAGTTTTTGCCTGCAGATCTTCAAGTTTGTGTGACATTAGGCATAAGTCATCGGCGAAATCCAAGTCTTCTAGGTTCTTTTCCGTCGTCCAGCGTATCCCCCTCTTCTCGCTGCCTACTGTTTGCTGCATGATCCAGTCCACCACAATAAGGAATATCATGGGGGATAGTAGGCAACCTTGTTTCACTCCTGTCTTCACTTCAAAAGCATCACTGAGCTTCCCATTGTGAATTACTTGGCATGTGGCATCTTCATATAGTTGTTGGATGAGGCGGATAAAGGTTTGCGGTACTCCGTAGTATTGAAGCAGTTTCCAAATTACTTGTCGGTCGACGCTGTCAAAATCCGGCCTTCTCAAAGTCGATGAAGTTGAGGTAGAGAGCTGATTGCCATTCTATGCTCTGTTCTATGATGATGCGAAGCGTTGCAATTTGGTCTGCACATGATTTGTACTTCCTGAAGCCTGCCTGTTCGGGTGGTAGTTTTGAATCCAGTGCATCTTTAAGCCTCTCTAGGATGATGCGGCTTAATATTTTACTTGGGGTGGACATAAGAGTGATTCCGCGCCAGTTCTTGCAAGCACTGAGGTCTCCCTTCTTCGGCAGTTTGACAAGGTAACCCTTCTTCCAATCACTAGCCAGGTACCTTCTCTTCCTTCCACACCTTCTGCAATAGCGGTGTGAGCATGTCCGCTGTTGCCTCTGCGTCTGTTTTCAGTGCTTCTGGCGGGATCCCATCTGGTCCTGCTGCTTTCCCGCATTTCAGTAGCTTTATGGCGTTCAGGACTTCCATTTTCGTTGGAGGATTTATGTTCACTTGTACTTCAGCGGCTGCAGGTGGTATTTCTGGACGAAGTGCAGGTGGTGGTGGTGGCCGATTCAAGAGCTTCTTGAAGTGGTCAGCCCATTGTTTCCTCTGTTTCTCTTCGTTGGTAATTAAATCTCCGTCATCATCTTTTATTGGTTTCGTCTGCGTTGATCTCTTTCCAGATGGCAACCTGGTTATTTGATACAATGTCGTCAGGTCTCTCTTACCTGCAGCCTGTTCTGCTTCACTTGCCAGTGTTTCGTAGAAGTGTCTTTCATCCTTGCGCGCACTCTTCTTCACTTCTTTGTCCAGTGTTTTATACACTGTGCTCAGTTCTTGTCGTTGAGCATCCTTGCACTGGTTTATCTTCTGCTTCACCATCCTCCTCTCCCTACTCTATCAGCTTCCAGGTATCCGTCGAGATCCATTCCTTTTCTTCTTTCTTCTTCCTTCCTAATACTGTTGTGCAGGTTTCTCTCCACATCTCTTTCAAAGACTTCCAGTGTTCTTCCACACAGGTTTCATCAGGGATGTTCCTCGATATCTCCCATTTTGTCTTGATGGCTGCCGTGAAGATTTCCTTTGTAGTTTCATCCTTCAGTTTCCGAGTGTTGTACTTGAACTGAGGTCTATCACCAGATTCCTTGAAGGCTC